AAAGTTGATAGTGGGGACTCTTCTTTGTGTCACTTGGCATCTATCCCGCACCGGATCTTAAGTCTTCTACTCGTATTTTGGCCTGACTAGTGCTAACCAGGGTTATTTGCAATGCTGTCTCTGCCTGCTTTACATTTTTCATACCTGACGTGCAGTGTGTCTCCCAGCGGACGTCTTTTCATCTCATCTTTCTTCACCCTCAAGCTGTGTAGACTTTTCCTCCAGTCAGTGCGCAAAGAACCTGCTGAGCTGCACCTTCCCCCAGCATCAATAGGATTTGCCAGCGTAAATCTTTCATCTATCAGCGGATTAACTTGTTTAAAATGCAACTCACTGAGTGGATTAAAGAGCTTGGGCACGGGTAATAAGATACAGTACCTTTCACTGCAGTATGGCCAGTTCAGATCAATCCAGGGTGTTGGTGACTAGGAGTTACCATTGGAGCTGCATCAACTGAGTATGGTTATAAACTGGTATCGTGAATTTCTCTCTGGGCAGGATGGGAAGCCAGTGAAGGGAGGGAGCTGTGCAAGCAGGGCCTTCCCATTTCAGGGGATAGAAAGATGCACATCCAGATTTAACTTGGATGGATTTTAAGCTGCTTGATAGAAATAAATTGTGGTGCAGGGGGATTTCTTGTTTTGTCCTTTTAAAGAAAATGGATGATGTTTGCTGGGGAGGACAGGCAAAAATCCCAGTATCGTCTTTATTATTCATAATTTTCTTCAAATGTGAATAATGTTTGCAATAATTTTATAACTTTGTTCAGTTCTGCACTCAGAGGACATGGCCCACAGCACTGATTGGTATCCTCTGGCTATCTTCTTGGGATTCTTCAAATGTGAATAATGTTTGCAATAATATTTATAACTTTGTTCAGTTCTGCCCTCAGAGGACACAGTGCACAGCACTGATTGGTATCCTCTGGCTATCTTCTTGGGACAGTTGTGGCTATATCTGCCCTCCCCTCTGCTGCAGACTCCCCTCTAAGGAGGGGAACAAAACTGGTCTGCACACATGAGTGGATTTTGTTTTGTTTTTAAAGCACCTCCTATTTTTATTTTAAGAGACAGTTCCCGTTTGTTTTTGAGCATTTGAAAGCCTTTTTTTTTTGCATATACCTGTCACAGTACTCAGCAGAACCAACATTTTGGTCTTTAAAAGTATATAACTGCTAGGAAAGAAAGAATGTGTGTGGACCCCCTTGAGAAGGGAGCCACTTGGAAAAATGAGTCACAGTGTTTTTCCAAACCTTGAAGTGATGCGTATGTGATTTTTTTTTTTTCCCCTCTGAATTTTTGAAACCATTTGTCAGAGAAAATAAGCTTCAGCCTTGGTTAAAATGAAGCAATCGTGTGGCAAAACAGTTTAGCAGTTCAAGTAAGGGCCAGAGAAAGTGTGACCCTTATGAAGGGTCAGGCATGCCATTCTCTGCCTTTGTTCTTTTTTTTTTTAAGTTCGGTCATATTTTACTTCTTCCTGGAAGCAGTTAGTAATGCAGAGTTTGGTGATGTGTGGTGTCTTAAAATAGATTTTTGCATTTGGAAAATACATCTGTTAAGTAGAGCAGTTAGTGATTATGTATTGTGTTGTTTCCAAGATAATTCAGGTGTTTTTCTGTAAGGCTATTACCAAGGTTATAATTGTTCTTACCTCATTTTAGAGTCATAGGATGATAGAATGGTTTGGGTTGGAAGGGACCTTAAAGATCATGGAGTTCCAACCCCCCTGCCATGGGCAGAGACATCTCCCACCAGACCAGGGTGCTCAAAGCCCCATCCAGCCTGGGTTGGTTCCCAGAAAAACATTACTAAGCAAAATTTACAGCAGAAATGAGAACTCACTCATAACCTGGTATAGTGAAATGGAGACTGTGTAGCATCATGATAGTTATGAGCAAAAGAGAATCTCAGTCTCTTTCTTGTGTTAGTAATTAACTCTCCTGCTTCCGCTGAAGGCCTGTTTCACATGATAGTTTTCTCATCTGTGTATGTTATTAGAATAGAAATAATACTTAAGATTTTCAGACAAAAGATGATGAGTAAATTATCATAATTACCAGATTTCTTGGCTGCCTAATGCTAGGTTCAGGGATGTAAGTGCGTGTGTGACTGGAAATGGACCTCAGTGCAGCAGTTCGGAATACGCACATGAACAGCTGGCATAGCAGGAGGTAATTGCGTGTTTAAGTGTTTACATGGGTCCATGAATTTCATAGCTGGCCTCATGGTAGCTGTGTGAATGCTTTTTGTTCCATGAAGCTTCCACACACTCACGTAGATTTTGTTCTTTCATTTCTATTATGGAAATAAGCTACAGGGAATAAGGATTTGGTGTTGCGAGATGGGTATTTTAAAAAGAATCGTCCTTGACCATGTGGAGAACACAAGAGGAGAAACACAGTGTATGCAGGGCAGCCCTGACAGCTGGTGGGAGGGTTTAATGAGCGAGGGACCAAGGATCCTACACATCCATGGTAGCACAGCAACCACATCCAAACTAATGCTGTCGAGTCCAGGATTTGAGCTGTAATGACTATACAGCTATCTTGAGAGCTAAGAGGGTCTCTTCTAGGACTGGAACTGTCTAGAAGAGTGTGCTTCATGTGTTCTTGCCTGTGGCTGCCACTAGTTGCTAGTTTTCAGGTATGGGTCTGAGATGGCATCTATTGAACAGTTATCAAACTTGAATGACCTTTGCTGGAGAGTAAATGCAAGTTTTCCACCTACCACTTGCCTTTTCAAGGGTTGAAAGCCAGTGCTGTAGGTGTTTGTGAAGAAGCTGAAGGCTGTGTGAGAACATCTCAGAATCAAGGTTTAAAGAAATAATCTGGTAAAAGTAGTAGTTACGTCTTACTCAAAAGCCATCAATATCTCTCCTTTTCTACAGTGGAGGTTGCTGTTTTAAATTGCCTGTAGCCTCACCGACTTTCTCTTCATCCCCTTTTCTTCTGCTCATCATTATTCTGTCCCCGTTGTAAGCCCAAATGCCTCTGTCCCTGAGAGCATCTCTTGGTAATATAATGGTTGCATAGTGTCAGATGCGTTGTGTTGGGTCAGGTCATTTGCTTGGTATTACTCATGAAGCTGGCAAAATTAGCATGAATTTACTCTTGTTACGCTTCGTGCTATTTTATGTTATGCAGATGTAGATCAGGCAAAGTGAAAGGAATGGGTAGTTTTGCGAAGCTGGCAAAATTAGCATGAATTTACTCTGTTATGCCTCGTGCTATTTTATGTTATGCCTATGTAGATCAGGCGAAGTGAAAGGAATGGGTAGTTTTGTGTGTCTCTTATTCCTTCTACCTTGTTCTCATTGACTGTTCCTGTCAAGAAAATGCAACAGAGATAAATGAAAGTGGATAAAGTTTTTCCTGCCTTTCTGGTTGTGGTTGTCTTGTGCTTTGTTTTTTTCTGCTTCATTCTATTTCGTTCTTCCTCCACCTCCACGAAGGAAAACCTTCCTTAACCTCCAGAAATGTGCTGTGCCCAGGACTGGGTCCCTGAATTCTGAGGCTGAGGAACCACTGCCACAAAACACTGAAGGTCAACGTGACAATGGCTTGGCCACAGATTATTCAATCTGATTCCGAGCGATGGCTGGCAATGCTCCAGCTTGGGCATGGCTTCTGGCTGGTTTTGCCTTCCTCTCTGCGTGACAAAGCAAAATGATTCAGCTGGGTGCAGTCAGTAGTTGTCTTCAGGCATGGGTTTGCCAAGTATTAACGAGGGCTAGTTAACAAGGAGTGTCTGAGGGCCAGACTGATAATGATGTGAAAGTGTGAAAAGACGCGGAAAATAAAACTATTATTTGGCGTGTCTAAGTGTCCTTAGGCAGCTAAGTGCCTGTGCAGATTTATTCCCCTTCCACTGAATTTGTTGTTAGTGTTAATCAGCGGAGGTCAATGTCTTCCTTGCCTGAGTTAACAACAGGACTTTTTTTTATAGCATTCTGTACTGCTGCTGAGGAGGCAGTGATAAAAATCTTCTAGTTCTGTGGCAGTGCATTGCACATATTTGGGTGGGTTGGAATAACCCTGTTAGAACACCACAGTTCATCATCTTGATAATTAACAGAATCCAGTTGGTCTGATACAGGTATTTTTTAACTTGAAGTGCTTTTAAGAAAGGAAGACGTGAACAGCACCTGCTAATGAACAGTTGTTTCAGAGGTCTTATTATTCAAAATTAGGTTGTTATTTTGCTATGCAGGAAAAGGTAATGGGGTTGTAGGTTTTATGTTTCATTAGTAAGATAGCGACGTTATCTTCCAGGGGTGTGCTGTTAGTGTGCCAAAAAAATGGCACGGTGGGTTTGTTCTTTCTCTGGTTCTCTCAAGAGAGGATACAGTGTTTTGTTCTGGTGGGTGTAGGAAGGGGTGCACACCCTGCACTCATCGGTGCTTTTTGTCCTTGAAGAGAAAAGTGGTGATGTCTGCAGGAGGTGGTGTTTCAGGGGGGATTCTTGCGGTGGGACACTGGCACAGGTTGCCCAGAGAAGCTGTGGCTGCCCCATCCCTGGAGGGGTTCAAGGCCAGGCTGGATGGGGCTTGGAGCAACCTGGTCTGGTGGGAGGTGTCCCCGCCCATGGCAGGGGGGTTGGAACTGGATGATCTTTAAGGTCCCTTCCAACTCTAACCATTGATATCTGAAGGTCAATGCTTTCTCTTTAAAAATTGTCTTTGTAAATATTTTGGCGGTTTGCAAATCTTTTATTGTTTCTTTACTGAACACCCTCACCAAAAATGTTTTCTAAATCAAGACTCCTGGTTTTTATTTTTTATTGTTCATGTTGGGTTTTGAGTTTTATGGGGTTTTGGTGGTTTTGTTTGTATGCTTTGGTTTTATTTTTTTTTTAATCCTTTCCTTTGTTTTCTAACTTTCTCTGCCTCCAAAGTCTTGCAAGTGACTCCCTCATGCTTCCCAGTTCCACCTTGATTAACTTTGAGCCTGGTTGGGGAAAAACATACTTCATTCTTCTTCCCTTCCTATTCTGTTGCAGATTTTGACTTGAACTATTTTTGGCATTGGAGCAAGTTTACAGACTACGTGCAGTGTGTCCTGACCTTCACTTGTGTGACCGGTTACATCACTTACCTCTGGCTTGACTCATCTCTCTTTGTGGAGACACTGGGCTTCCTGGCGGTGTTCACCGAGGCCATGCTAGGTGTCCCTCAGCTCTACAGAAACTACCAGAACAGGTCCACAGAAGGAATGAGGTATGGTGTTTGTCTTGCATAAAACAAGTAAGCGTGCGTGCATGCGTGTAGGCAAATCTTTGTGTAGTGTGGAAATACTTTTCTAGGCAGGACAATGTCATCTTTCTAAATTTCACTTGAAAATACAGCAGCCGTCATAGTAGAGTCTCAATCAGCTGGAGCACTGCTGGGGGGTGGTGGAGGCTGTTACACCTCTGATGTCTGATCCACTGTCCAAGTCCAACTGGATAGTTCTGAGGTGAAACACATTTTAGTAAAATAAACATGTAAAACTACTGCTGTTGCCATTAGCGACATACTGTCGTTCAACTCCAGCTGTACCACACTGGTAATTAGAAATGGACTAAAGAGATCCTGTGTATCAAAATCAATAAAATAATAAAGAGGAAGAAGATACTTTGAGCCTGCAGTGGGTAACTGGCAGTGTAACTCACATATTAGCTCATCACTTTTTCTCATGTATCTACTCATCACTTGTTTGTAATACATTATTACGCCTGTAGCAAATGACATCAGTATGTGTTTTTGTGTAAAAGTTTGTCACATTAAAAAAAGCTCAAACGAGACATTTACAGTCGTGACTGGGAAACCCTCTGTAAACAAGTGAGGGACAGAAACACTGTTGGGGTGTTAAACTAGATTATCTACATTAAAAAAAGCTCAAACGAGACATTTACAGTCGTGACTGGGAAACCCTCTGTAAACAAGTGAGGGACAGAAATAATCTTGTTCCCACTGTTGGGGTATTAAACTAGATTATTTTTTCATACTGCTGACTGGATATCTCAGTGGTAACACTAGGATTTCCAAATTGCAAAGGCTTTTCGTAAATTGTAAAGCTTTTTAAGAGAGAAAACATTTATTGTGCACTGGTCTATAGAAACAGTACAGCAGCAAATGAACTTCCCAGAGTGCTGTGACCATTTGTGACACTGTCTACTCTTTCATTGTTTTGAAATGACTTCTCTTTCCTCGCTTTTAAACTTGCTGGGATAGTTTTCATTTTGGTCAAAAGAAATAACTGTTCCCCAACACCCCCAGACCAAAGCAATTCTCTCCTTTGTCTGTTGACATTGTTCCCTTTACTTGTTTGGCTGGGGGACACTTACACTAGCTACTTTAAGTTCTTTTCTAACTTGAAATATTGATGAGGGAATGTCCGGAAATTTGCTTTGATGCTTAAGGCATTTTCTGATTGGGAACCCCTTTGGTACAGAGTGAGTCAGATTTTGCTTCCAAAATATTGGGCTATTTTTCATGCACTCACTGCCTTGGACAAATTCTGTACCTGTCGTATCCAGAAGGCAATTTACCTTCTGGACCTTCTTTCTGCTCTGGTTTGACTTTTCCCTTTATGTTTTTTTATCAGTGAATCATAATGCCATAATGCCACATTATGATAGCTGCTGCCAAATAATGTTTTGCTTTTCTTTAGCTCCTCTCTGGGAACCTGAGTTTCAGTCCAATTTCCTGTATAAGCTATTTAGCGAAAGGAAAAAGCCAAAACCCTTTATGCTTCACAACGACGGTTTCTTTGTAAAGCACTAAGTACAGAATTGCAGAATTCTCATCTAAAATTGCTTGGCAAGGGAGTGCTGTGTTGAGACAAGAGAAAATAGCATAAAAGCTCTTGTTCCCTTGCCATCAAACAGAACAAGGTCCAGCGAGAGCCGCCCTCCCTATTGCCTGGGCTCAGAGGTTTTCCAGAATGCATTTTTTTGCAGATTATATTGCAGTTTAATATATGTTGCAGGTACCGCGTGTAGTTTCTAGCACCGTGCAATCCTGAGTTGAATCGTTGGTCTCTAAGGATTACTGGGCTGTTCCTACTGTGAGAGTGACTTCAGCTGGTGCATTGCCTTCTGTTGAAGGAGCTGTTGGAAAGATTTCCTCTGAACTTCCCTTCCTGTGCCTGCTTCTCTGTCTAAAAGCACGTCAGAGAAGAGACCTCAGTGAGGTGCTGGAGCGGGTCCAGAGAAGGGCAAGGAAGCTGGTGAGGGGTCTGGAGAAGAAGTCTTGTGAGGAGAGGCTGAGGGAGCTGGGGGTGTTCAGCCTGGAGAAAAGGAGGCTGAGGGGAGACCTTATTGCTCTCTCCAACTCCCTGAAAGGAGGGTGTAGAGAGGTGGGGGTCGGTCTCTTCTCCTGAGTACCAGGTGATGGGACAAGAGGAAATGGCCTCAAGTTGCACCAGGGGAGGTTCAGATTGGAGATTAGGAAAAATTTCCCCCCTGAGAGGGTTCTTAAGCCTTGGAATGGGCTGCCCAGGGAAGGGGTTGAGGCCCCATCCCTGGAGGTGTTTAAAAGCCAGGTTGACATAGTGCTTAGAGACATGGTTTAGTGATGGTTTTTTATCAGAGTTAGGTTGATGGTTGGACTGGATGATCTTAAAGGTCCCTTCCAAGCTTGACAATTCTATGATTCTGTGAAGGGAGCATGTAACAGTCCAGCCAGGCTACTCATAGGACTAAGTTTATGACTTGTGTGGGTATTTACCAGATGGGGGCTAGTTGATGCCCACTGCTCTGTGCAGTTATTTACTGCTGAGTGCAGAAATAGCACGCGTGGGGATGGTTACACTGTCAGAAACAACTGAAGTGGTGATCCTCTGCCCATCAGCTGGGCCATAATGGCTGGCTGCCAGACATGCTTTTAGCAAGTCTCAGTGGCAAAGTGAAATAGATGAGTTCCAAGTGTCTTTGTGGCTTTAAGCTTAATGGAGAGAGCAATGAGAATGAAGCTGTTCTGTTTAGTGACCTTTTGGACAATTAACCACATGCTGGGTTGGAGGCGGAGGCGGTAATTTCTTAAACCACAGTAGTTCTGTCACCTGTGGTGCATGAGTGGGGCCCCTGTCCCCAAGAAACGTCACAGCCTTTACTACTGCCAGAGAAGGGGCTGTTTGGAGGTGTAAGGTCCTGTCCAGTTTCTTCCAGGAGGTCCTCATGGGTTGGCTGAGAAAAGCAGCAACCTGCATCTGTCTCTGAACTGGGGCAGAATGGGACACGGCAGCTGATATGTTAAGTCTATTTCTATTTTAGCAAATAATTCCTTTCCCGAATGTGAACTGCCAAAATAGAAACAGAGAATAAGATGTGGCCACATCTGGTCAGGGTATCCTGCCAGACTCCTCAAACATTGTGTTGTTTCTGAAAAAGGCAGTGAACAAATAACTCCACAGCACCCACCCACCCACCCGTCCCACCACCCCGCAATCACCCCTTTCTGTCTAAATGAGAAGTTGAGGACATTTCATGCTTGAGGTGGCAGTCATTTCCCGACAAACCTGGAGACCACTGGCCATGAGAGAGGTAAATGGGACAAGTGGCTGTGGTGGGAGGCAGGGTACCCTGTGGGTGTCTGTGGTGAAAAGGGTCCCATCATCTCACCTCTGTATTTCAGTCTGTTACTGCCTGAAAAGTCCCCTGCTGATCATGTGCTCAGTGTCTGAGGTAAACATCCAGAGGACATCTGCAACTGAGTCATTTATTGTCACAGGGCATTACTGGAGTGAAGGAACCACAGTTACGTGCATTGGAGTACCCCTGAGAAGGAGTCTTCCAGTTCTTTGATATCTCTATTCTGCTGAATACAGCTCCTCACTTCTTATTTTTATTTATGTCTTCATTTCTCCCTACTTCTCTCATTTTCTTTCTTTTTATAGCAATATCACCACTAGGTCCTGTTGTTTCTTCCTCGGTTCTCAGAGAGCAGAGACCAAATGAGAAATTGAAAAGAGCTGGAAACAAGAGAAGCAGGAGATGTATGCTGAGTGGCAGGTTTTGTGTAGGGAAGGTAGTGTAGTATGTCCTGGTGGGCTGATGATTGAAGGGTGGAAATTTGCCCATGATTAAGTAAACAGAACAGTTTCTTTTTAGTCAGTGCTTAGAGTTCAGAGCTGCTGGATGGCAGAACCTCCCCAGGTCCAAGAAAGAGGTCTGGCAGCAGGACTAAGCTGGGCTGCATATCCTGAAGTTGTTTCTTCCTCGGTTCTCAGAGAGCAGAGACCAAATGAGAAATTGAAAAGAGCTGGAAACAAGAGAAGCAGGAGATGTATGCTGAGTGGCAGGTTTTGTGTAGGGAAGGTAGTGTAGTATGTCCTGGTGGGCTGATGATTGAAGGGTGGAAATTTGCCCATGATTAAGTAAACAGAACAGTTTCTTTTTAGTCAGTGCTTAGAGTTCAGAGCTGCTGGATGGCAGAACCTCCCCAGGTCCAAGAAAGAGGTCTGGCAGCAGGACTAAGCTGGGCTGCATATCTTGAAGTCTCAGAAGCCACAGTCCAGGTGATACCTAAATTTGCCCACCAGTGGTTGGCTTGGAATCGTGTAGGTCCAATAAACAAGGTCCTCTTGCAAGTCCTGGTGTGCATTGCTGTCTCTTCCCTTCTTTTGAACACCTCCAGGGATGGTGCCTCAACCACCTCCCTGGGCAGCCCATTCCAATGGCTGAGAACCCTTTCGGTGAAAAATTTTTTCCTAATATCCAGCCTGAACCTCCCCTGGCGCAACTTGAGGCCATTTCCTCTTGTCCTGTCACCTGTGACTTGAGAGAAGAGACCGACCCCCATCTCTCTACACCCTCCTTTCAGGGAGTTGTAGAGAGCAATAAGGTCTCCCCTCAGCCTCCTCTTCTCCAGGCTGAATAACCCCAGTTCCCTCAGCCTCTCCTCATAAGACTTGTGCTCCAGACCCCTCACCATCTTTGTCGCCCTTCTCTGGACCCGCTCCAGCACTTCAATGTCTTTTTTATGGTAGGGGGCCCAAAACTGGACACAGTACTCAAGAAGCCACAGTCCAGGTGATACCTAAATGTGCCCACCAGTGGTTGGCTTGGAATCGTGTAGGTCCAAGAAGCAAGGTCCTCTTGCAACTCCTGGTGTGCATTGCTGTCTCTTCCCTGGCTCCATGCTGGGGACAGAACCAGGGAAGGGCTGTGTCATCCCTCTGCCAGCTGTTTCTCGGGTCTCTCTTCCAGCTCGTGGCTGGTTTGCAGTCTGCTTAG